AATACCATTTTATCCCTAAGGTTGTCCTTTTTCTTTGTCCTTATTATTCCTCTCTTTTCTCTTCTTATCCTCACCTCTATACTCCTCCCCCGGTGCCCTCTTATCTTTTTCCTTCGCGTGAATCATTCTGCATGTAACTTTTCTTTTCCCTACGTCTACTACCTGAGCATATTTTCGTTCCGGTTTGAGAAGTACATCGTATGGATCTGTTTTGCGACCCAATTTTTGAGGATTGAATGGGGTGTGTCTTGCCTTCCTTGCCTTCAGTTGTCTGATGGATCTCGGCTTCTTTTGCTCATGCATCCTCCCCTCTCGCCATTTTTCCACCGTTTCTCCTGCGTCAATCACAGGCCACAGACCGTGCTGTTGCAGAGGTAGCTTCCATGGCCATATCCGACATCAAGCAGAGCAAAAACAATGTCAAATCTCGGCGTTGAGGAGAGCAAAGACAGGTGGAGAAGAAAAGTCAGAGTTAAAATATGAAACGAGCATCAGAGAGAATCCCTGCTTTGATGACATATCGGTAGCTGCAGTGCTACGTGGGAAGCAGAGAAAGAGAAAGTTGGATTTGAAAGGCAGGAGGTGGAAGGGAGGTAACCAAGGCATTCGGAGGAGAAGAGGAGAAGACATACTTGAAGACGGGGAGGCGTTTGATTGCCCGCCGATCGCAGCCAAAAGAAATCGGAAGAAGATGAAGGCCAGGCGCGCATGGCCTCAAGGAGCTTATGACCAAAAGCGCTGAAAGGTTAGAGGGATAAAACGCTTAAAATAAGGAATCCAAAAAACATTTTACAAGCGCAGGAAGATGAGTTTAAAGTTTTCAGTTTGCTGACCGTTACTGACCGTTAATGGAGCGACATATGTCGATCTTGCCCGCCCCAGGCAAACAGGCGCCCGCACAATTCCCAGAATTGCCTCAAATGTCCTGTCGAGCCATAAGTCTCAGGTAAAAGAGGTATGGTTGTGAGCTCTACATGGGATGGGCGGTGCGAGCCCATGCACGTGCGCAAGCATGATGGAAGAGTCCTGAAGATGATCGATGCTTTATCTGGTCTCTTCAAACACACCCAATAAAAATATGAGAGTGTCCACAGCGCTTCAAATGACACATTGGTTACATTATGAGGTGGAGGATCTTAATGAAAAGCTTCGCGTTGGAATGCACGAGATCAAAATGGAACTTTAATGGAAGAGTGGGTCCTCGCATTGGTATCTACACTGACACCGGCCATGGATACGATCTTCCTTTAATGTTTCTCGTCATAGTCTGCCACAATCAGCTTACTGAAGATCGTGCATCAATTGTTTATCATTACCTCTTGCAGGAGTCAAAGATGGAAGCTCCACTTTCCCTCGTTCACACGGCCTTCGCGCTACTTCGCTTGTCCCGCGAGACTCTGCTTCAAAATCAGCCGGACAATGCCCAGGAGGATGTGAAGGCTGCGTTGCGCTCTTATTTTACAAAAAATGTCGCGCATCGCGAGATTGCAGACATAAGTTCGTACATTGATGTGGTACAAAAAGCCCTTGCGGAGAGTGGAGACGGCATCATGGATAACAATGAGGATCACGCAACCGTTACCGTTACAACCACGACATCCGCGAATTTACTGGTTGATTTCTCAGATTCCAGTACATCAGCAACGCAGCAGAAATCTATCACTCCTTTTTGTAAATCTCCTCCTCCGAAATTGAAGGACCATAGGGATGCGTATGGTGTACATGGTGCCGGCAAAATCCGTTCTACCCCTCTCCACTCCTTCCCCACCGACCCGCTGGCAACACCGTCCTTGCTCACGGAGATCTTTTCCTTCCTCGGGACAGTGGCCCCTTATGGTGCAGAGCCAGTATTGAATGGCTCAGGCCACCCGTGCAGGATGTCCGCGGGGCCAGGGTCGGAGACCACGGCTCTTCAGGCAGTACGCGTGAACCTGGCTCCTTTGCTTACTGTAGCCCGCCTATGGCGAGCAACCGCCTCTCAAGACCGCTTTTGGCGTCCCATCGTCTCCTGGACATTGCCAACACTGACGATGGACGCCAAAGAGACCCGGACCACCAAACCCTTTCCATACAGACAGGCTTTCCTCCGGTATGCTCGGTGCTTGGCCCTGCCCGTCGTGGGCGACGGAGAGGAATGGCATGCACATGTCCTGCTTTCCTTTGAGATCTATGACGTTCAAGATTCCATGCGTTTATTCGTGGCCTCCGGCCCCCTGGAAGTGATCCAATCCACAGAATCAGGCCTGACAGCCCTCCGTTTGACCGGAACGAAACGCTCGGAGGTCTGTCGGCCTTTCTCCGCAAAATCCCGAGATCCGGTCAATAAACGCTTCGAGAATATTTCAGCGTACCTTTGCCACAGCTGGCGACCAGACTTCCCCGTCGGCTTACGCGTGCGTGTCGTGGCTACGGACGCCAGGACAGGCACTCAGGCCCTCATCTACAATTCCGAACCGAAAACGAAGCGGTCCGTGAAGGATTCTACTCTTAACTTCTGGAGGCGTTTCCTCCCACGGCACAGTCTTTTCGTATGGGAAGCCTGGTCACGCTGGGTCCTTCAAAATGGGACGCAGGAAGCCGTGGAGATAAGCACTTCATTTTACGTCTCCCCCGTCCAGAAAAGTCCCGTATCCAGCGCCTCCTCGACGGGATCAGCCGAAGAGAGAGAAGACGGTTGGATGCACTTTCCAAGCGCGACTGGCACAAGCCGGCAGCGGGCCCTCGACCAACCCCATGTGATCATGGGTGGGGATGAGACTGCCTACGCGAACCACAACTCATTTGTGGCCGTCCAATTCCGCACGTTGGACGCTTCCGTCCCCGCACGCTACATCAAAGGGGCCTTGGAAAGGAGCAGGGCAACAGGAGGTTGAAATTTCTACGAAGGGAAAATGGAAAGGGAAAAGCACGACCTACACCAAGAAAAATTCGAGACGAAGCAGCGAGGATGAGATGGCGCGAGACAGGAGGGATCGCAGGGATCTTGCCTGCATCTTATGAAATTTCGCTCTGAAAAATTATTTGCCGTCAGGACCAAAAAGTCGTTTGTTTACACTAATTGTTTCGTTGGTTCCTATTGTCGGTCATTTTCTATGCTAGGGTGCCCTTGTTTGTTGAACAAAGGACTCTCGAGTCTTACGACGAAAGGCTGGAAGCCAAAGCACTTGCATTTTATTCTAGATCCATCACCTTCGTCGAGCGACAGACAAAGCTACCTCTGTCAAGGACTCTGGATATTTTCCTCTTTCCAGGCATCATCTTCTTCCGTCATCCGTCCAAAAGTCCTCTGACGAACTTACCGATGGCCAGCGTGTCCAGCGACTTGAAGTACAAAAACATCAAGGAAGCGTCTTGCTGGGGGGTCTCCGGATGCCAGTCGCGGGCTACAATCCGATACCGTCGGTCCTTCTCCTCAGCCTCCAACCCTTGTCCGGGCTCCGGCCCCACGAAGAAACCGACGCGCATTTCCATGGCGGGGCTGGCGCCCAAAGTCCCAAGGGAGGCTTGGTGGACAGAGCTCCAGGCCCAGGCATCGCACACGTCTAAGGACCCGGGAGGCAAAAACGTCTGCCAGTAGGTGGAAGGGATGGCGCCCGCGGAGGATTTCGGGGATTTGGAAGCCTGGTATATCAAGGCCACTTTCCCCGTGCGGACATCGAAGGCCGTGATCCGCACGGTCAATGCACAGGCATACTCCGGACTGTGTCCATACCGAAAGTAGTCCCGGACGGAGCCAAAGCGTCCCAAGCCGGCATCCCTGGAGGCGGCCGAAAAAGGCCGAGAGACTTCCCGACGAAGGTGGGTGGCCAAGCGCAACGAGGTCACGTTCGAGTCCGCAATCGGGGTGATCTTGACTGGGCCCTCCGCGCTGTACAAGCGCAAGCCATCCATGGCATCAAAGACTTCAAAAGAGAGGCGCAACCCTTCCCTCCAATCCGCAAGCTTGCACAGGCGAGTCTCGGTCAGGCACCGGCCATACCGCAGCACCACGTCCCGGTGGGGAGCATCCAGCTTCCTCTTCTCTCCCCACGGCCACCGCGACAGCCCTTCCCGGTCCTGCCAACCGGACCCCCCGGCAGAGACCTCACATCCACCCATGCTCAAGCGGGATTCTCCCGGAGCCGCCTCCAAGGCCAATACAGGGAAGCAGCTCCGGGCAATCGGAATCCAGTACCGGTCTCGCCACGACAAGGACCGCCAGCGGCGGGCGACCCTGCTGAAGACGGAGAGCGTCCTTCTGTCCTCGCTGTCGTGGGCAAGGAGGTGGGAGAGAATTTCGGCGAGGAGGCAGTCGTCTTGAAGGACCTGCTGGGCGGGCGGGGGCGGGAAGAGGAAGAAGGAAGAGGAGGAGGAGGCGCCATGCCGGTGGGTGTGCCGGTGTAAGAGCAAGGAGGAATGGAACGAGGACAAGCAATGCGCGGCTTGG